CGCCCCGGATCGGCGGCACTGGCCGGAGGCCACTACAATAATAACTTCGTCGACACGGGGGGGGGCAAATTACTTCACAAACCGTTGGTAATCCTACCCTTTTTGGTTAGGTAAGGTGGGCGTCTAGACGCCAGACGTAACAAAAAAACCTTTCTGAGCGAGTCGGCGCGTATCCGCGAGGTAAGGTTCTGCTGAATTCTGCCGCCGCTCCGCCAGTTTGCGTCTCACTCTTCCGACCACGACCTGCACCCTTGGAAAACAAGGTCGCTCCAGGGGGAGACTGAAGAGAGGCCTCTCGGTCATGCAGGCGTCCCTCTGCCTGCTCCTTGTTCAACGACCGCTGCAACAATTCCACAGAGCAAAGCGCAATGTTATTCTGAGCCATACCATGTAATACTGGGTTGGAGCATCCGTGTTTCTTCTGGAAATCGCGACACCTTGCAGATGATGTCAAGCTGGGGCAGAAACCAATTATACTTGTCTGCACCATGCGATCCACCAACGTGTAACCACAAGGAAACACAGCAGCGCGGCCTGGCTAAATCATAGGCCCGCAAGGAAAACGAAAAAGAGCGGCTTGGCACAAGGGGAGAAGAGGAGAAGGATGAGAAGGAACGCTCAGAGAATGATCGCGGGAAGGCGGGTCCTGTGTCCGAGGCGGCGGAATCCTTCACTATGTCAGACAGCCGTTTGAAGCCCGCTGGTTCGCCGACGGTGCAATCATACCCGGGGCCAACCCTGTCCACGTAGAGGACCTTGCAGCGGAACGCAACGGCTCCCCGTCCTCATTCCAATCATCGTCCGTCTCTTTCTCCTGTTCTTCCTCCCCTTCTCCTCTTGCTCCGACGTTTCCGCTTCGCCGCTTCTATATCCTCCTCGCCGTCCCCCCCCCCTCATCATCATACCCCCCATCCTTCAACCCATTATCATCATCGTCCTCCTCATCCTGCTCCCAACCGACATCATTAATATCAAGACCACCCTCATCACCGTGATCACAGTCGCCATCGTTGCCACGACCATCACCATGACCAAGCCGAGCGCTGGAAAGAAGCCGAGCGTAACGGGCCGTAGACCATGCCCCCGCCATCACCATGACCAAGCCGAGCGCAACGGGCCATAGAAGGGCCGAGCGCTGGAAAAGACACCTGGCCCGATGTGTGCAGCCAGCTCTCGCCCAGGCTGGCCGCGTCCTGTGCTCCCAGGCTCCTGGTAGGGCGAAGGCGGAGAGGTAGCCGGCTGCAGTCGCCCACGCCCTCGACCTCCCGCTCCCGAAGGCGGAGAAGGCCCGCGCGCACGCGCGTGTCACTGGGCTCCCTCGAAGAGCCTCTGAGGCGCAAGGCCAGGGCAACGGCGGGCCCCGGCGACCCAGCGGGTGTTTCGGGATCCCTCGGGTGGCATGTGGCCTTTGCAGCAGCAAGAGTGACCAGGGAGGCCCAGCCGAGTATCGACACGGCCCCTCGGGCCAAGTCTACAAGATCCTGGTCAACATGCACGGCGAGCGGCGGCTGTCGCGGTACCGTCGGCGGGGGGGGGGGGGGGCGCGGCGCGCCTCGGCGGGCGACTCCTCCATGTTCCAGGCGGGGTCCACGAACTTGGTGCCATCGGCCTCTTGGGCGAGGGTGCTGGCACTGAGCTGTCAGCGGTGCAGGCATGCCGCCAGCTGGACTCCATGGCAGCTGGCCCGCCGTCTCGTGGCGCGGGGGAGGGGGAGCGGCGCAGCCAAGACGCAACCCTCCCCGCCCAGTAGCCCACCAGACACCCACGCCAAACGCACCCCAAAACAATGGCACTGGGGCGTGGGTGCCAGTCTCAGGCCAAGAAGCGGTCCACCTCTGTGCTGTGGCTACCTGCACGGGCAGGCTACAGATGAGCGGCCGGCTGGAGCCCCCAGCCGCGCCTGCGCGCGGGCTCTATCGAGCTGGATCGTTGCGTGAGGGGCCCGTGGGGGCCCAAGTGCTGTTTTGCTCAGGCGCGCAGGTGTCAGAGTCCCACCGCCCTTCTTCCGCAGAGGGGCGGGAGGCCAGAGGAGGGTCGAGCGGGGTCCCGGTCAGTGTGCATCGACGGGCGCGCAAGGGAGCGGAGCGGCGGCCCACCGGGGGAGGGGGGTGGGCGCTTGTCTCGCCGAGGAGGGGCCTTCGCGCCACACAGTCCGCTGAGGCGGGAGTGAGGGGTAAGGGAGGGGGCAGGAGGGAGGAGCTCGGCGGGTGCGGCTCGGAGCAGGGAAGTCGCAGCAACGTCGAGCGCAGAGCGGGGAGGGGGAGGAGGGAAATGAGGGAAAGGAGGAAGAAGGCGACGAGGAGGAAGCCGAGGACGAGGAGGAGCAGAAGGAGAAGGAGAGTCGGAACAGCCTTCCTGGTGGAAACCTGCGGAGCCCTACAGCCCAGAGGACTGCAAGCCCAGGTACCGTATGCGCCCTTGGACCGCACGTGGCTTGGCCGTCGTCGCCGTCGCCATCGCCGTCGCCGCCGCCGCCGCCGACGCCGCCGCCGCCGCCGCCGGTGTCGTCGTTGTCATCGTCGTCGTCGACGTCGCCGTCGCCGTCGCCGTCGCCGTCGTCGTCGTCGTCGTCGGCTTCGCACCCCCCAGGCCCGCCCAGGTGCGTGCACGCTCGGTCGCCCAAGCGCAGTGCGCCGCGCCGCGGCGAGGCGCCAAGCGCGGCAATCCTCGGGCTCCCGCGCCCACGGTGGGCGGCCCAGAGACGACGACGACGACGACGACGACGACGACGACGACGACGACGACGACGACGACGACGACGACGACGACGACGGCGGCGGCGGAAGCGGAAGCGGCGGCGGCGGCGGCGGAGTCGGCGGTGGCGGCGGCGGCGGTGGCGGCGGCGGCGGCGGCGACGGCGGCGGCGACGGCGACGGCGACCACCACCATGGCCACCACGACAACGACGACCCCTCGTGGAGAAGAGCAGCTCTGCGGCCCGGGCCGCGGGGCGCAAGGCGCGGCCGCCAAGATACAATTCGGTGGACAAAGCTTGATCTGCCCTCGACCCAACACGCCCCATCCTGCACAACAGACACAAGTCGGTGCACATCGGCTGGCCTCCACACCCATCCAACCCCCGTCGTCGCCCCCCTGCGAAGATACAGTTCAGTGGACATCGGAGGATCTTCACATCGCCTCGCGCCCCGGCGGATGACTGGTGCGCCCGCCCCAGCCCTCCACCGGGCAGCGGCTGCTCCCGCGGCGCGCTGCTCGGGGCCCCAGCGCTTCTCGTCGGCGGGGCTGCGCTGCCGTGCCGCCCGCAGGCGGGCGGTGGCACCGATCCTGGGCCTGGGGCCAGCCTGCGCAGAGCCTGCACAGGGCCTGCACATGGCAGATCTGAAGGGGAACCGGGACACACAAATAAGTACACACAGATAACCAGATTCCCCATGTTTTCTCATATTTTCTGGGATTCTGTCTTCCCCCCCCACTTCCCATATTATCCCATCTTTTCTGCGGGATCGACTATTAATTGTGTCTGTGTGTTCTTCCCCTCCTGAAGATCAACTGTACAAGGGGCCCAGGGAAGCACAAACAAATCTGCAAATGTCCCCGGATGTCCCATACTTTCCATGCTTCCTGGGTCTTCCTCCTCTCCCACATGTCCCGTGCTCTCCCGTATTCTCGCGGAATCTAGCTTGTTTTGCTCATGTGTGTGTTGCGTCGATGTTTCCCTCCTGACATCGGCGCCCTCCTTCCCCGCTCTGGATGTTTGGAGGGATACTTGCATCAGTATGTGGTGCGTTGGGCGATTCGCGCTCCCGCCCGAGCGCTCCTCAGCCAAATGCTAGCGACGGCATTCATGCAGAGGGATGGCGGCAATGAGCTCACTGCGGGCAGAATGTTTGCACTCAGTGAGTCCAGTGCCTGCACTGGTGGATAAACTGGCTGCATCCTTCCCCGCTGGCTCCCGCGCCACGCCGCGACCGGCCTTGCACCTTTCGATGATGGCATCGACCTCCGCGGAGCACCGCTGGCTGCACACGACTTGCCCGGCCTTAGATGCACCCGCCCAGTCCGGAAGACTACGTCTTTCCCTTTCTGTCCCCCCCCCTCCTGCCTGCTCCGTCCTCACTCACTCCATCCCTCCATCCATCCCTCCGCCCCTCCCCTCCCCCTTCGCGTGTACGCGCACTCGTCTTGACATATGGTAGCCGCCAGTCGAGCCCCAGGTTTATGTATCGACGTCCTCCCTGCGCACGCGTCACATTCACGTGAGACGGCGACAGAGGTTGAAGCATGGTGGAAGCAGTTGGAACAGGAGGTGCGATCAAGGCCCAACCCTGCTCCCATGCACTACATGTTGGATGTGAATGCTACACTGGGCTCACGACAGTCTGGATCGGTCAGTGCAGTCGGGGCCAAAACCGAGAACATGCCTGGGGGGTACTTTCAGGCGATTCTGGAACGGACCGAGCAAGCAGCTGCGTCGACGTTTAGAGAACCAGCTTGGGGGATCCATGGGACTCGGCTTCCTCCTGAAGCAGCACCACAAGACCCTAGGCATTGAATTGACTACGTGACAGCTCCAGTTGACATGCTAACACTTGTGGGGGACCAGGGGGTAGATCCTGCCGTGGACCCTTCGATGCGTGCTGATGACCACTTTGCGGTTACACGAAAGTGGCCCACGATTCCACACGACTCCGAGAAGCTTGATGACAAGGAGTGTGATACGTAGTATATGCCAGCCAGAGCTTCACTTCCACCCCGACGACCATGCCGAGCTTCTAAACCAGGAAGTGACCAAGGCAGTCACCTTGTGCTTTCTCCCACAGCGTTCGGGCAAAGGGAGGGAAGTAGGCAGGATAGGCTGTCTGCTCACTCGCTCTTGCGACGACTCCGACACTAGTTGGATCAGCTACGACGTGCGATTGTGTTCGTGGCCTCGGCACCAGACGGCAGGGAAGCACAGGAGTGATTCTGCATGCGTACAGTCTTGAGATGGCGGCAACAGTGGAAGCAGCAAATGCGAACGACTACGCTGAGTATTTTGGAAGAAAGCCGCATGCAGGTCTGAGCGAGTCTCAGCCAATCGCAGCGCAATCGATCGCTTCCCTTGCAAATGTTCAGCTCGCGTGCAGACAGGTTCGAAAGGCAGCTTCAAGATGTGACGGGTTGACAGGGGGATTGGTTCACGAGCTCCCGCACCGAAATCGCAGCGCTGCGTTATCCACTACAAGTGGAATCCTGAGATACGTTGGTGGAACCACTACAGTGGAAGGGAGGTTTCGATCGTGATCTCCTCAAGTCAGCTGTCGCAGGTCAAAGTTCTGCTCAAACTCGAGCTCCATGTCGGCATCGTCCCAGATAGGAGAAGGCATCGAGGAGGTGCTTGCGAAACCAACTCATGCCGTTGCTCTTTGACATGGCGGGACCCGCACAGGGCAGTGAAATACCAGATCGTGGCACCACCCAGGTGTCGCCCATCGTTCGGCTCGCACAGAGGCATGCCCGCCTCAGCAATCATTCATACGGCGTGCGGTTCATGGATGTGGCGCAGGCCCTTCTACGGGAGCATCAGAGGTACTGCTACGATCGCATGTCAGGGCAGCAGGACTACCGCCGTCAGCGATGTACGGGCTTGCGCGCAGACTATAAGAGCATGGAGCACAGCTGGCACGCACATTTGGGGATACGCATGTGGCACGTCAGATATAGCAATAGTACCACGCACCATGCCGTATCTACGACGGGTTCGAACCGGCATCCCTGCCACAGAGATGTGTTCTCCCGGGACAATCATTGGCCGACACATTCATTGTACGAGATGCTGACGGGTGATGCCAAGGGCACCGTGCGCATCATGCTCTTAACCAAAGGGCTTGCGCACCATCTATCATGTAACGACAGCCGCAGTATAGCCAGAATATGCACATATACAGATGCCACCACTACCATACCATTGATGGATGTTACGTTCACTGATGATGGAACGTCAATGTTGACAATGGCAGTTATCTATACATATACGCATAGCAGCAAGTGTCGGGCGATTGTGGTAATACATGAAGGTTTTGCGACGCGGGGGCACCTGCTAGATGTGGGGCCGAGCAAGACTAGAACACATTGTTCTTTGAGGAGTCCCGGGACCAAGCAGGCAAAGCGAGTCATTCGGCAGCAGCACGGTGGCACGCTACAAGCGACGACCAACTTGCTTGGCCCATTAATACCTCCTGTGGTACATAATTACATATTCTTGAGATCGGTCATCGACCCAGGGAGTCATGGGGTCTGAGCTTCGGCACCGTGCGAGCACCACAGTTGCATCGTTGCAGACGCTGCGCAGACGCGTGCTTGCCAACGATACCTTGTCAATATCCGGACGGATGCTGTTTGCAGACAATTGGGCAATGTCGGGACGGCTGTACAAGGCCGGTGCCAGGGCTGCCTTGTCAAGCGGGGAAGCGAAACAGCCGTGGATCGACATCATGAAAGTGGATCGCGTGGCTGCCCGCGCAAGGCATGCGGAGGACGAGTCACGGGTGACCGACCACATGGTTATTGGCGAAAGTCTATTGTCAGTCACCGACGCTACTCTTGCGCGTAGCCAGGTTCGGTGGCGAGCGAGGGGGGAAAGTGAGAAGGAGAAGGCCTTCTCAGAAG